CTTACTACATACCTACCTTTATTTTTTTACATGTGCTACCTACCTACCTACCTACCTACCTACCTACCTACCTACCTACCTACCTACCTACCTACCTATCTATCTATCTATCCCCCTCCCTCCCTCCCGATTCGTCTCCTTCCTTCTCTGTCCCTCTCTCTCTCTCCCTCCCTCTACTTCTCTCTCGTGGCAAAGCCGATAGCGCCCGACTCGTCGCCTCAAAAACAAACTCAGGGTGTGTGTGTGTGTGGGGGGGGGGGGGGGGGGGGCAATTGCCTATTCGCAATGGGCACCCCGTAAACCGCACTCACTGTAAGGTCCTTCTTTCTTGAAGCAGTCCATAATGCCCTTGTAGCGCATGAACTGGGAAGCCAACATGCCAATCATCTGAGTACTGGACGATTGCAGAGCCACGCCCAGCTCCGGGGTCACGTGATACCGCACCGTGCCGCCGCCATCTTTGCTTGCCTCCACAATCTGGGCGCACACCAGGCAGTTCAGGCACTCTCTCACATACCTGGGGTAAGAAGGTTTAGTTTAAGTAAAGGATTTTTCGGTGTTAGTAAGAGTTTTACGGCAGTTTAAATACAATAAGGTTATATAAGGACCGAAGAAAAGAAGTGTTACAAGAGAGCAACTTACACAAAAGAGAAGGAGAGATAAGGACGGACGATAGATGTTTGATAGGAAAGAGGGAGCAAACTGCACCAGAGCACCCGCCAACCACTCACTTGGTGAGGTTTTACCAAGCTCGTAACTGAATAAGGTCACATGAGCTCCAAGGGGTGGTGGATGTCAACAGAGAAGTCCAAACGGGGAATCAGGGTTACTCTGCTCATCTCTTTAGCCTCAACAGCACAGTCTGATTCGACTATTAAGGCACCCCATAAATAGATGTTCACAAGAGAGTGATAAACATACAAGAGAATTAGAGGAAAATGACAATAGTAAAGATGAAGAAAGAAAAAGCTGCAGTTCCCCCTATGTCGTTCCAGCACAGTATGAGCATGACATTGATAAATCAGCCCATCTACTATTAGTAATAATAATAATAATAATAATAATAATAATAATAATAATAATAATAATAATAATGAAGATCATTTCTATAGCACCCACTCCCGTGTAAACACAGCTCTAGGCGCTTTACATAAATGCATGTAAGAAAAATATTCATGCACGCAATACACACACACACACTCACACACACACACACACACACACTCATATACACACATACACACACACATATACATTTACACACACACAAACACACGCATACACACTCACGAACACATAACACGCACACATGTATGCCACATACTATTCTACTGTTCATAAGAACATTTTAATATCACCCTTTAGGAATGGTCTGAAGACTCTTCAGTCAGAGCACAGCCCTTGAGGGGTGAAATGTTGAAATGTTGAAACGGTGACATGATAGAGGTTAAACGCCCCTATCAACAATACTAGGCTCGTATTTAAGAGGCAGGACCTCAGAGCTTAACGTCCATCTCCGAAAGGATCGAGCCAAGTGGGAAATTTGTGTTAAGTGCCTTTCACTAGGACAAAATGTTGGACTGAGCCAAGGCTCGAATGTGCACTCGGTATCAACGTCAGATGTACTAAAATATTTGATGATAATAATAATAATAATAATATTAATAATAATAATAATAATAATAATAATAATAATAATAATGATAATAATAATAATAATAATAGATTGCATTTATATAGCGGTCTATCCCTTATATTTCGCAGAAACAAGAAAACCCCATTCAAACACATAAAGAAGAGCTTTCACAACCATACACTAATTAAGAACAGCAGTAAAAACAAAACGCATCAGCACTTACTAACACATTATAACTAAGAGTTAAACAAAATGAGTCTTGAGCACTCGCTAAACTGATGGCTGTACGTCAAGCTGACGAAAGCTTTACATGAACCACTTTCATATAATAATATATAATATTATTATTATTATTATTATTATTATTATTATTATTATTATTATTATTATTATTATTATTATTATTATTATCTTTATTATTATTATTATCATTATCATTATCGTTATCATCATTATTATTATTATTATTATTATTATTATTATTATTATTATTATTATTACTATTATTGCCTGACAGAAGTCAGACAGGGCTGGGATTCGATTCGAGTCCTGTTTTAGGCTCAATTTGTTGTGCCGGCACGGGGAAGTAAGGACTTGCCTACATTTCTACATATCTGTCATTAACGTGTTTGAATATTTCAGTAACGAACAAAGGAATCTCACCATGCTATTCCCATTTACAGGCAGACGAGACATATCGAGGGGCAAAAATGGCGTTCTGCCTCTTGTTAATGAGTTGACGATCGTTCAAAAGATGTAAATGTTATTATGGGAATGAGATTCTGCCATGAGAAAAATTTGAACGAGCATGATACAAGATACTCACTCCCCAAAGCAGAGAAGAGTTGAAAATGGAATAAAGCTGTGCATTATAATAATCTAAATTACGTCAGGGGACGGGTTGGGGTGGTTTGTTTGTTTGTTTGTTTGTTTGTTTGTTTGTTTGTTTGTTAGAATAAAGAGAAGCACATCAACACAATAATGGTCATTTAGTGATAGGAAAATGTAAGACAGACAGACAGACAGACAGACAGACAGACAGACAGACAGACAGACAGACAGAAACACCAGAGGGGGGAGTAAAGAAGTAAGCCCTCCAACCACCCGCGATTGGGATGGGGAGCGTTAAACATTTACGATCTATCATACACCATTAAACCAACTGTAAACACATATTGTGTTACGAGTACTATGTGTTGCAAATGGTTCACCTTAGAAGTAAAAATGTTGAGTTTGAATCCTACTTTTTATCAAGTCTAGTACTCGTATCCTGCTGTGTCTGACGGGAATCTGTCTCCCTTTTCACGGGCTTGGCGGAGACTGGGGGGGGGGGGGGGGGCTGCTAGCAGTCTGCCCCCTAAATAATGATTTTAGATTTGTCAGTTGTCAATGTGACCATAAAACACAAATAATTATAATCATCATGAAACCAAGTCCTTGGCCTTTAGAATGAAACATAATATTGTGTCTCTGACAGAGCGAGTAAACGTGTCCAAAAGTTATAATCAAACCTATGCTAGACAATCGCAGATACAGAATATGGCCATTTCTCTCCCCCCC